TGAGCTGAACTCACGTGTTTTTTTTTTTTGTCATGGGAAAAAGCAAGCGAGAGAAAAATAAAAAAATAATTAAGTAATAAGAAGAAGAAGAATAAGAATAACCTCTTCGGGACAAGTTACTAAGGGATGGATATAATATACCCCTTCTTTTTCCAAGTTCCAGCCTAACTGCAAAGGGTTACAGCTGATCAGCCAACGGCTTGATTGCCTGCGTTACAAGTGACCTGCCGCAGCCCGGACCGTTCCCCCGCGGTCCCTGGGCCACGACCCGGCGGGCACGGTTGGGGGCACGGACGGGGGCACGGCTCCCCGCAGCGCCGCGCCGCCACGAGCCCGCTCACCGCGCGGCGCCTTATATGGCGCGGCCATGACGTCATGCCGCCTAGGCTCGGGCCGCCCGGCGCCCGTCCCGCAGTGCTGCCGGCGGAGCGGCGGCGGGAGGCGCGCAGCCCGCACGGCCCCGCGTAGCCGGCTCTTCCCTAAGCGGCTACGGGAGCGGCAGGTAAGAGCGGGCGGGCGGGGACGGCCTGCGGGGGACCCTGCTCACGGATGGGCGTTGAGGGAAAAGGGTGAAAGCACTCAGACTTCACCGGGATCGCTGGCAGAGCATCCTATTTCCCTGTAAGCTGGCATAGGTGCAGAGCAGGCGGACGAGGGATGAACTTAGCGGTGAGAAAGGACGGAGGTAGGGATGCGGGAGCTCCTCAGTAGCCGGCTAACATCGCGGCTGCATTACAGCCGCGTGGGAACGCGGCAGGTAGGGCTCCTCTGCGCTGCCCTTACCCGCACGGGCGGTGCGATGGGGCACACGGATATCTCCGAGCGTGTGCTCAGACTTCTGAGCAACTTCTGTAGTTTATGGGGCGACGCGTAAGTTGCCACCAGCACGATTCTGCCCATGAGGCTGCGCTCTGTCTGAAGCGAGCAGTTGCGACCAGCTCGGAGTCCGACAAACTCCCCAACTCCTACGCGCTGCTTCCCTCTTCCGTGTCTTGTGTGCAAGTGTCAAGTCACAGCAGCGCCGAGCTGTCAGACGGTGAGGAGGAAACTTTAAATCCCGGTCACCGAGCAAACGAATCTCGAAGGAGAGCAGCCGCTGCAGAACGGGAAGGGAACCCGGTATGCTCGGCTACAGCCTACGGCTGTCAGCTATGGTCTGCGGGGACGCGCTCCCGGCCCCGGGCTGAGGAGCTGTCACATCTCCGCTTGTAGGAACAAATGCGCCCAGGTCAGCTCCACTGTCCTACCTGCTGATTCAGGCTGCTAAGCAATGTTCTCCCGAGGTTGGTGTGCACATCGAAATGTTGCCGCGAGACCTTTAAACTCGGACAAACTCTACTTAAAAGAAAAAAAAAATCTGGTTTTGTTGTATTGTTTTCGTTTTCCTTAATATCAAGCTACGTAGCTACGAAATACAAAGGCTCAAGCTACATAGCTACTACGACACGCAGCAGAAAGCTGTGGAGATTTTTATTTATTTATTTAGCTTCACTCAGTGCTTTAAACCCTTCAGAATCCTTGTTCGGAAAAGTTTAAGCTGCTGTTATACAGAGGTGTGCATCACTGTGCTGTCCTGCACACAAGGCACGAGAGACTGAGAATCAAAATCCCCTGTGAATGTTTTCAGGACATTTTTCCTCTAAAAAACAAATAGCAAACAATATTTGAGTAGTCATTTTCCACAGATGGCTCTAAAAACCTTTATAGACATACACTTCATTTCAAAGACAACTCGGGTATTTCTATATTATTAACCCTGGCATTTAAATAGATGTCATGTTTCCAAGGTAGTTTTCCTTGTAACGAGCAAAATTTACACTTCTGTAGATGCCATCAGTCCACCAGACTACAGAATCACAGGGGCAATGTCTAGTATATATGGAATGAAACAAACCCCAGAAAGTAGAACAAATGGAAGTTTATACTAGAAAACTAACACCCCAGATCAGCTTCCTAAATCCTTACAAAGCCTTCTGCTTGCTATTCTATTGTATCCGCAGACTAGCAACCTACTTCTCTTCCCTGATAAATTTTGATTCCTATGCATCATAAATTTAGTCAATTTAATACTTTAAAAATGCATTGGCAAGTTATAAAGTGGAAATGTTAGCTGCATTATGAAAAGATATGTTAAAAAGCAGAATTAATAAGCAGCCCTTTATGTATATCTGAAGGAAAAGGAGAGGCTGAACTCAAAGGACTACAATATGATAAAGTAAAAAGCATTTGCAGGAATACTATAAAAGCAATAAACATGTTTTATGAAGGTAGTAACTAGAAATAGAAAAAAGCCTATCCATATCTAAGAGGCTACTTCAGCTCTTCCAAACAGAATGAGGGCAATGTGTATCATCATACTACTTCGATAATATCCTAAGTACCATCTGTACTGTGAATGCTACCTGTCTAATGCAAATCATGATATCTGTTAAAAAACAAAACTACTTTATTTCCTGTAGTCTGTCTTCCATACACCTAAAGGGAAAACATTCTTTGCCTTATACCTCTAAGACCAATTTTGATCTCATTTCTACTGGTAAAAGTCCAAAATAATTAGACTCAGGTGTAACGATTAACATCTTTCATAGTTGTTTTTCCCCCCCACAGTATTATGTGCCTTTGTTTTGTCATAGATTTCCTAGTATGTCTCAAAACCATCAAGTTTTAAGTAAACAAAATGTTAGCTGATATCACTAAACACTAAAAGGAAAGAAAACAGTAAAGGGAAAGAATAATCATGTAATTCCGTCTTCAGCACCTGGATTTCTTCTCTTAACTTTCTCTGTACCTCTCTTAACTTTCTCTGTACCTCTCTTAACTTTTTACAACAGGCAACATAAAGAGAAAGCGCTTTAGGAACAAGCACCTCCTCCAGAAATGAGGGTCAGCTTCCTATCTAACTGCACTGACCCTTTGTTCCTTCCCTGTCACTCCCTTCCTTCCACTGACCAATGTCACATAAATGCTGATAGGGAAATTTTTAGAGATTGATCTCATGGATCAACGTATCTAACTTGCCCTTATTTTATTTTCCCCACCAGTACCAGTATAAGCAAGTCACTGCTTGATTTGGCTTAATAACATCACCCCTGTGATATTTACCTAATGCTGGAATGATTTATCACATTTGTCATTGTCATGGGAGGAAAAAAAAAATAAAAGAAAACCAAACAGCCTGATTTTACTTGCAGAGACAGTTTGCATTTCGTGTCAGTTCTTAAAAGCTGGCACTTTTCTTTAGAAAAAGTCCTTTATCAGGAGTAGGCTGGCATGGGAAAGTGCACAGCCAACACTCCTTGGGAGCTCTCCTGCACACAGCTTCTCTCAGATCCTGGGTGTGGTATCACCAGAACACAGCTCATTACAGACGCAATTAAAATACCCAGAAAAATATCTAAGTCAGAGAGTACTAAGGAGGTTATAATGTAGGAAGACTCGCCTTTAGAAATCATCCTATAAAATTTAATTCTGACTCATTAATAGTTCCTTTTAATCCTCCAGCCTGTCATCAAATTGATGTGAATTAGAAACTGTGCCTTACCACTAAAAAAAAAAAAACAAAAAAACTTGCATTGCTTAGGTTTGTCTTTCTCATAAATGGATTCTTCATAAATGGATATCCATGAGGCTTATCTTGAGCTTTCTCAAGGTGGTTGAAGGCTTGGTTAGTTCAGTTCCTTACTCCTGCCCTCGAAGAGGGAAGGAGACGTTGCTGAAATACTCTAAATCAGTACATGTAAGTACATATATGCACAAGGCTGAGCTTGTCCTTATGTGAGGTAATGGGCATTCTGAGTCTTAACACCTCTCAGTCCGTTCCACTGATTTTGAGGTTTGCTGTGTTTCCTGTTAGTGAGACAAGAATCACTCTGACTGCAGCTCTGGGGCACCATCTTGTCTCTGGGAGGTCAGAGCAGCACCTCGTTGCCTGACAGATGGAGCATGCTCAGCTCTTACAGCCCGCCATCCTCAAGCATTCAGGAATTCAAGGACATACTATTTAAGGAATTTCAGTAGCACGGTGTAGCCTCCTGTTTAAAGACAGTGCAAAGCCAGTCCCACCCAAAGCACTGCTGGCTAAGCAGAGTGACAGAACTGAGGTGACAGAGCAGGGGAACATTTCTGCAGTAAGCGAGCGCTAGGTTATCCAAGACAAGTGAACACCCAGCACCAGCACCATGTAACCTTCCCTTAATTATAAAACAGAAAGCTTGAGGGTGAGAGTTCAAGCCTACCTTGTTAGGCAACACTTCAAAACAAGTCCAAGTCATTCAGGTTGATAAACGCACTTTTTTTTTTTTCCTCCCCTTCTGCTACAGCTCATCGTGCACGTCGTGATGACATTACACACACTTTTCTTTAGGCTTGAGCTGTGTGTGAGACCTGTTGCTGACCACCAGAGAGTGGCTGCCATGGTAATGAAGCAGAATTCTATATTGCCTATTTGCAGAGCCCACCCGAGCTTAGGCTTCCACAAACTGTTAGAGGAGTACACAGGCAGGGTACACAAGCTCTGATGAGCATGACAGAGAATGCAGATGCTAAGAGTGAACTGAAATACTTCTGACAAGGAAAAAAAATACCTAGCTATCAGAGGTGTTTTGATCTTTGCACAGTTCCACAATGAGACCATTTCTAGTTTATAAAAAACCTTTCTGCTAATCTTGCCAGATGTTTTGGCCAGTATCATTCACAGCATTCACACCCAGCAGGACAAACAACATTCAGTTTTCATGTTTATACAATATCCAACACAATCAACACTGAGACCTTGAAAAGCCTTAGCATTATTTCTTTTTAAACGTGGGCTGGTGGATTAATCTTGCATACATTTCAGGAAAGTAAAACAATACATGAACCAAATTTCATTGTCCTTTACAGACTTCCAAAGGCCTGGGAAAGAACATGACAATTACACTGAAGTCAGAAGAAACAATACATTAGAAGGTTTAGAGATCTCTCAGAAGCAGCTTAATAAATGCCACAGTTGTTTTAGTTTTTAACTTTAACATGCTCCTCTCAGTTATGCACTTTTTCAACTTCAGTCATTTCAGATCCCTTCCTAGAGAAGAGGAAAGTGAATTAAATGAAATAAGATATAAAATTTATATCTTACAGTTTGGCCTCCTGAACTAGGGGTACCACAGCACCACATTTAGAACAGCTAGCCCCTGACCTAAGTGTCTGAAATCCAACACTGGTCATAGTAACTTGGATGTGGCTCTCTGAGAACTAACTGAACTAACTATTAGTGTTTGGGAACATGGAAAAAAATACAATTTGCTAATGCTCAAAGCTAAAACATTTTCTTAACCTGCAAATAGCACCATATACTTTTTCATATAAAGAGAAAATCTTTTGACTAGCAGCCCACATCAATCCTAAATTAAATATGGAATTCCCTTCAGTGAGAAGGCCACCATGAACTTTGGCAGACTTAAAACTTCTCCTAAAATATGTGTTTCTAAAATCAAGTCTGACATGTAAATCGTTATACACATT